CTTGGCTTTTTTCCATTTCTCAATTTTTCATTTCTTAACTTCTCGATTTTTCGATTTCTCAATTTCTCGATGTTTCAGTGTTTGAATTTTTGAATGTTTCGATTTTTCGATTTCTGAGTTTTTCGATATCGCTATTTTTAAATTTTAGAGTTTTCAGTTTTTTGATGTTTTGATTTCTCGATCTTCCGATATTTTGACTTCTCGGTTTTAGATTTTTCGGTTTTGCAGTTTTTCGACTTTTAAAATTTTTGATTTTCAATTTTTCGGTGTTTAAATTTTTCAATGTTTTACGTTTCGATTTTTCAGTTGGTCGATTTCTCGATTTGTCGTTATATTCAGGTTTTGATTTTTTGATTTTACGATTTTTTTTTAATTTAAAATTTTTCAATTATAGTTCGATTTTTCAGTTTTTCCATTTTTCAACTTCTCGACTTCAATTTCGCGATTTGTCTATCTTTTGAAGTTCCAATTTCTTGATGCTTCAACTTTTGAATCTTTTGATGATTCGGTTTTTCGATTTCTCCAATTTTTAAATTTTCGATTTTTCGATTTTCGAATTTTTAGGTGTTTCAATTTTTCAATTTCCTAATTTTTTATCATTACCGTTTTGGAATTTAATATTACGATTTTAAAGTTTTGGATTTTCAATTTCTCGGTTTTTTGAGTATTCTACTTCTCCATTTTCCAATTTTTTGATTTTTTAAATTTTAGATTTTTCGATTCATCAAATTTTCGATTTTGCGATTTCTTGATGTTTCGATTTCTTGTCATGTCGGTGATTTTTAAAATTTTTCGTCTTTTTAATTTTTAAATTACTCGATTTTTCAGTTTTTCGATTTTTCAGTTTTAGGATTTTTTAGTTTTTCGAGTCTTTAACTTTTCTTCCATTCTTCAGTGCTTCGATGTTTCAGTTCTGAGATTTCGATTCTTCAATTTTTAGATTTCTCGATTTTTAAATTTTAGATTTTTAATTTTTTCAATGCTTTAATGTTTCGATTTTTCGATTTATCGATTTCTTTAACTTAAAATTTGCCCAATTTTAACTTTTCGATTTTGGCCTATTTCGATTTCTCAATTTTTCATTTCTTAACTTCTCGACTTTTCGATTTCTCGATCTTGGGATGTTTCGATTTCTCGATGTTTCATTGTTTGAATTTTTGAATGTTTCGATTTTTCGATTTTTGAGTTCTTCGATATAGCTGTTTTTCAATTTTTCGAATTTTTAAATTTTAGAGTTTTTAGTTTTTTGATGTTTTGATTTCTCGATCTTCCGATATTTCGACTTCTCGGTTTTAGATTTTTCGGCTTTTCAGTTTTTCGACTTTTAAAAGTTTTGATTTTCGATTTTTCGGTTTTTACATTTTTCAATTTTTATATTCCGACTTTTCAATTTGTCGATTTCTCGATTTGTCATGATATTGTGTTCATATTTCGATTTTTTGATTGTACGATTTTCAAGTTTTCGCTTTATTGATTATTAATTTAAAATTTTTCAATTTTTAACTTTTGATAGTTCGATTTTGGTCTATTTCGATTTTTCCGTTTTTCCAGTTTTCAATTTCTCGATTTCTGGATCTTTTGAAATTCCAATTTCTTGATGACTTTCTATAGTTTTCGAATTTTTAGATGTTGCAATTTATCAATTTCTCAATTTTTTGTAGTTTGAGTTTTGGAATTATCCGGCTTTTCGATTCTTCAATATTAGGAGTTTTCAAATTTTCGATTTTTTAAAATTTGGATTTTATATTTTTGGATTTCTCAGTTTTTCGATTTTTCGGCTTTGTTTCGATTTTAAAGTTTACATTTTTCAAATTCCTCATCTTTCGACTTTGCGGTTTTCCATTTTTCGAGTTTTGTGTTCAATTTTCCAGATTTTAAGTTTTACGATTTATTGAGATTTCCATGTTTCGATCTTTTTTGTATGTTCGATTTTTCGATTATGTCAATTTTCCCATTTTTCTACTTTTCGGCTTTTGGTTTGTCGATTTCCCAGTGTTTCGTTTTTTGAGTTTCGGAATTTTTCAATTTCTCTATTTTTCAGTTCTTCGATTCTTCAGTTTTTCGATTTTTAAATTTTAAATTTCCCAATTTTTCAATTTTTGAAAATTTTAGATTTTATGGTTTTCAGGTTTTTGATGTTTTGATTTCTCGGTCTTTCGAATTCTCGATTTTAGATTTTTCGATTTTTCATTTTTTCGATTTCCAAAAATTTTGATTTTCCATTTTACGGTTTTTAAATTTTTCGTTTTTCAATTTTGCGATTTCTCTATTTGTCGTGATATTATTCAAATTTCGATGTTTTGATTGTACGATTTTCGATTTTTTTAGTCTGTTTTTCCGTTTTTCAACTTCTCGATTTTTTAATTTCTCGAGATCTCGATCTTTCGAAGTTCGAATTTCTCGATGATTCAGTTTTTCAATTTTTCAGTTTTAGGATTTTTTAGTTTTTCGAGTCTAATTTTTCTTCCATTTTTCAGTGTTTCGATGTTTCAGTTCTGATATTTCGATTATACAATTTTTACATTTCTCAATTTTTAAATTTTAGATTTTTCAATTTTTTAATGCTTAAATGTTTCGATTTTTCGATTTATCGATTTTTTTAACTTAAAATTTGCCAAATTTTAACTTTTCGATTTTGGCCAACTTTGATTTCTCAATTTTTCATTTCTTAACTTCTCGACTTTTCGATTTCTCGATTTCTCGGTCTTGGGATGTTTCGATTTCTCGATGTTTCAGTGTTTGAATTTTTGAATGTTTCGATTTTTCGATTTTTGAGTTCTTCGATATCGCTATTTTTCAATTTTTCGAATTTTTAAATTTTAGATTTTTCAGTTTTTTGATGTTTTGATTTCTCGATCTTTCGATATTTCGACTTCTCGGGTTTCGATTTTTCGGTTTTTCAGTTTTTCGACTTTTAAAATTTTTGATTTTCGATTTTTCGGTTTTTACATTTTTCAATTTTTATATTCCGATTTTTCAATTTGTCGATTTCTCGATTGATGATATTGTGTTCATATTTCGATTTTTTGATTGTACGATTTTCGATTTTTTTAAAATTTAAAATGTTTCAATTTTTCGATTTTCAACTTTTGATAGTTCGATTTTAGCCTTAATTTTTCCATTTTTCAACTTGTCGACCTTTTAATTTCTCGAGATCTTTTTTTTCAGTTTTTTTGAATTTTTTGGTACTTTTCGATTTTTCGATTTCTCGGTTTTTCGATTTTTCAACTTTTCACCTTTTCGATTTTCCAATTTTTAGATGTTTCAGTTTTTCAATTTTTCGTTTTTCTAATTTTTTGTGATTACAGTTTTGGAATTTTTCAATTTTTTTCAATATTACGATTTTTCAAGTTTTCGATTTTTTAAATTTTGGATTTTCGATTTGTTGGTTTTTCAATTTGTCCACTTTTGCGTTTGTCAATTTTTCGATTTTTAACTTTAGATTTTCGAATTTTTAAATTTGTTGTTTTATTTTTTGATTTTTTAAATTGTACATGTTTGGATTCATCAAATTTTCGATTTTACGGTTTCTTGACGTTTTGATTTCTTGTCATCTCGGTTTTTCGATTTTTAAAATTTATCGTCTTTTTGATTTTGCGATTTCCCGATTTCTCAATTTCTCAATTTTTTGATATTTCGATTGCTCGATCTTTAGATTTTTCGCCTTTTCGAATTTCGATTTTTCGATTTTTCAATTTTCAATAAACTGCAGAAATGATATCTGTCATAATTAGATACTTCAACTTTTATTTTGGTGAAAATCTTTGTTTAAAATTGAAAAAAGAAGAAAAAGAGATAATTAACAGAATTTTTTCGCACCTATTTTGAAAACGGAAAACTCCGAAGAACTCATCGATGACTCAACTTCATGTGAATCAACAAGCTCAAATGAGCCTGAATTTGCATTACCATTTATCTCATCTGCATTTCCTCATCATCTAACCGTCACGATCTGAAGGTTTTCAAGGATGTTGCTGTGGAAGCATCCAACAAGATACATCACTGTGAAAAAATCGGTATTTACCGAAGAACTTTCTGGTGAGAAAAAAAAAACCCAAACAACTGCATACAAAATCAACAGAAAATTGTGTGACCTACACTGAAGTTTCAAAAAACAGCCAAGAAATTGTGGCTTTTGGTTAACTAATTCTACAGAAAACTTCGAGGAGCGAATTGTTTTGGGAAAACGTTTCTACTCATTTTCAAAATGATCAAGATTGTAGAAAATTTGAATCAAAAGTGCCTAAATTCAAAAAAAAAACAATTTTTATTCATTTTTGAGATCTTAGAAGAAGATTTTTTTTAAATTTGACATCTACTGTCCAGATTTTTCTTGCAATTTTTACCATACAATATAAACAAACTGAAGAAACCAAAGCATTCCATAATTGGATTATCTTGGAAAAAATCATACGTGAACCTCAACCACAAAGTATGTTTGTTTCTCTCAGAAAGCGTTTTATTTATAATTAGCTTTTGTCATTGACATACTTATTGAAAATCGTAAAAACACACTGAAATTGATTAAAATCTCATAACACACCAAATAATGTTAATTATCACTGACGTCGTCAATACAAATTGAAAACGCTTAAGAATCTTTTATTAAACTATAAACTTTTTATATTCCTCATGGTAACAATAGCAAAATTGGAGCCAACAACTACTATTATAAAATTTTTAGTGCTTTTAAACACCTATGGTGTATAGTAGAACACAATTAAAACTCCTTATATTTGTGTCGAACAACTCACTTTAAATAAAAAAATGCAAACCCACACTTCTTTTGATATCGCCCCTCCACTTCGCCTCGGTCCATTTCAAAAAACGCTCTTCAAATTTTTTCCGAAGCATAACCCCCCTCCGTCGAATTATTACAAAACCGCGCTCGGTAAAAACCACACGGCCACAATCCGAATAGGCATAAATTAAGATCGACCGTTAACGAAACCACACGAGTGTATCGTAATGTTTTTGTTTCGCCTGCGCCGACTACCTGTTGAACGGACGGAAAAGATTTCAAAGTAGTTGTAGATCGAGTGGCTTGTGGACGTGGTGCCGATGTTTCGCATAAACCATAACCGTTTTGTTGACTCTCATGCATAATCGGGTCGTATTTGTTTGTGCGACGTCGTAGTTGGCGGATTTGTGGCTTGTTGTGACAGATTGGTGACATTTCTTGACGTTTAGTGCACGCTCGGTCATACCGCTGCCGGTCATTTCGATAAATTGGATTTTTAAGCCGTTGCCTGGATTTGGCGACCACTCGGAAGGTAAACCTACTTTTATCTTATTATAATAATTGCTTGTTTATACACGACTTTGGTGTTCAACGGTCGGATAAGGCTTAATTTCGACGAACACCCAGTAGCGGAATAATGAGTGTGGTAATTGGAGTCAGTTGATTGAAAGTGAGGACTGAATTTTACTCAAACTAAGCGGTTAATAAAGATTTGAAATGGGATTAAGCAATCAAAATCTAGAAACGCTGCTTATAACTTGGTAGCAGAGGTCCTAGTACTGGTTTTTGGGGTACCCGTGAAAATGTTACCCGAAACAATAAGGAAGACTGTTGGGGTTCATGGTCTTCGGAATTGTACCATTTTCCACTTTTTCGAGAATTTCAAAATTTGCCTTTTTGACTTATGACACACTATACCTAGGAAGATAAATACCACAAATATATTGAAATGGTACAATTTACAACACATCTCTCTGTAAAAGTTCATGTGGCCAAAGAACAGATTTATTTTTGGGCCAAAATTCCAAATTTTGACTTTGTTTGTATTGGATTTTCGAAGTTTGAGAACAGCGCTTTAAATCGGGCAAAAGGATCACAACACATTGGGTTTGTTGGTCATTCATTCATAATATTTTTAACTATAAATACATGTGAACTTTAGACAACGTTTAAACATTGTTATATTTATAGTAGATATAAAAGCAATTTGCCCAGTTCTATACCAGTAATACCACTGTTAAAAGCGCTATGACCGAGTCACTATTTCACGTTTCTTTTTGAAACTGCTTTACAGAAGTTTTATAGTTCCGGTTCTGAAATAGTGAACATTGACCAAATGACACGGAGTGCAGCCTGGTTGGCGTAGACTTGTTTTATTGGTAAAAATTCAGACACTAAGAAACTGTGATCACGAATTTTTATTTTGTAGGTTTCAAAAAACGAGCAAATTCAATTTATTTTATATTTGCCCAAAAACTCGTATTGCGATCCAATTTGTCACTTTTTTTAATCAGTTAACTTAATGATTTGATGCTGACCTTGGCTCCGATCGGTTTAAAACACTGTTACTGATTAGGTGAGAAGCTTAGATGAGTACTTTCTGAGATAATTAGTAAAATATGTGCATGTATTCTTTTTTTTTGAGACATTCTGTATCGTAATATGTCACTAAAGAACAACTGCTATCTCTTCGAATAGTGTATTAATTAATAAGGTCTGTCTCTAGAGGATGATAATTCTTAAATCAATGATAGCATTCTACTAAAATTGCGATAAGAATCATTTAAATATGGTGACGTCCTCCTAAAATTTGTGTTATTAAACGCTATTTAAATTTTATCAAATAAGAAACATATTCCAATACTTGTAGGTTATGAATCCGGCGTGATTTTTCAGCCAGATTTTCCAAAAAAAAAGAAAACAAACTGCCATGTCACATTTTATACCAGTATAAGAGCACCTATATGTGATAAACTCAGTGGCGTGCTTTAAAAATGTTAAACCTTTTTTTTTGATGAAATAAAAATCGATTCACCCCATTTTCTCGGAAATTTGACAATGCAGTAATGTGGCGCCCACCCACATTCATTTAAAATAATAATAAAATGAGAATTATAATAACAGCCATTTACCTAAAATAATATTCAAATTTAAACATTCATCCTTGTTTGTTGCCAGGTTGTTAATAACGCCCGAAGTTCAATATTACGTATTGAAAAACCGGAACTATATTTTTAGCAGTTTTGAAATATAGTGCGAAATTTTACAGTTTTGAAATGCGAGCAAATTCAATTACGTTTATATTTATCCACAAACCTTTATTGCAATCCAATTTGTTACTTTTTTCTAATTACTTAACTCAATGATTTTTGTGCTGAAATTTGGAAAAAAGTCATTTTGTCTTTACTTCCGACCAGTTTTACACACTGTCACTAATTAGATTAGAAGCTTAGACGAGTAATTTCTGAGATAATCAGTAAAATATGTACATGTATTCTTTTTTTTTTGAGACATTCTGTATCGTAATATGTTACTAAAGAACAACTGCTATCTCTTCGAATAGTGTATTAATTAATAAGGTCTGTCTCTAGAGGATGATAATTCTTAAATCAATGATAGCATTCTACTAAAATTGCGATAAGAATCATTTAAATATGGTGACGTCCTCCTAAAATTTGTGTTATTAAACGCTATTTAAATTTTATCAAATAAGAAACATATTCCAATACTTGTAGGTTATGAATCCGGCGTGATTTTTCAGCCAGATTTTCCAAAAAAAAAAGAAAACAAACTGCCATGTCACATTTTATACCAGTATAAGAGCACCTATATGTGATAAACTCAGTGGCGTGCTTTAAAAATGTTAAACCTTTTTTTTTGATGAAATAAAAATCGATTCACCCCATTTTCTCGGAAATTTGACAATGCAGTAATGTGGCGCCCACCCACATTCATTTAAAATAATAATAAAATGAGAATTATAATAACAGCCATTTACCTAAAATAATATTCAAATTTAAACATTCATCCTTGTTTGTTGCCAGGTTGTTAATAACGCCCGAAGTTCAATATTACGTATTGAAAAACCGGAACTATATTTTTAGCAGTTTTGAAATATAGTGCGAAATTTTACAGTTTTGAAATGCGAGCAAATTCACTTACGTTTATATTTATCCACAAACCCTTATTGCAATCCAATTTGTTACTTTTTTCTAATTACTTAACTCAATGATTTTTGTGCTGAAATTTGGAAAAAAGTCATTTTGTCTTTACTTCCGACCAGTTTTACACACTGTCACTAATTAGATTAGAAGCTTAGACGAGTAATTTCTGAGATAATCAGTAAAATATGTACATGTATTCTTTTTTTTTGAGACATTCTGTATCGTAATATGTTACTAAAGAGCAACTGTTATCTGATCGTAGGGTGTATTAATTAATAAGGTCCCTCTCTACAGGATGAATTAATTTTGATTAAAATTTTGTCGTTCTTAAAACAATTTCGATAAAAATCATTTAAATAGGAAAGAATCTTTGTGTTAGCAAACGCCATTTCAATTCGATAAAATGAAAACATACTCCAATACTTGTGGGTTATGAATCCGCCCGAAATTTACCATGAATGAAAATATTTCTAGTGTCAATAAATCATCCAACGAGGTCACAACACATTGGCTTTGTTGGCATAAATGCTTTAAAAACCCTTCTCCTTCATTCATAATATGTATTTTCAACTATAAATATTTGTGAATTACTTTGACAGTGTTTTAAACATTATTATATTTACAATAGATATAATACTTAGCAATTTGCCCAGTCTATATATCCAATAATACTGAGTCACAATTTCACGTTTCTTTTTGAAATTGCTTTACAGAAGTTTTATAGTTCCGGTTTTGAAATAGTGAACATTGACCAAATGACACGGAGTGCAGCTCAGTTGGCGTAGACTTGTTTTATTGGTAAAAATCCAGAAACTAAGAAACTGATCACGAATTTTTGTTTACCTATAAAATATATGGTCTAAAGCTTGTAAGTTATTTACAAAATTTCACCCTTAATCAAGCTTGTCATTTGGACAATACTCTGTATTGCCCTATGTATACTGTTAACAGTTTTGAAATATGAGGAATACAGTAATGTGCCGCCCGCCTACATTTAATAATAATAAAATGAGAATTATAATAACAGCCATTTACCTAAAATGATATTCAAATTTAAACACTCATCCTTGTGTGTTGCCAGTTCGTTAATAACGCCCGAAATTCAATATTCCGTATTGAAAAACCGGAACTATATTTTTAGCAGTTTTGAAATATAGTGCGAAATTTTACAGTTTTGAAATGCGAGCAAATTCAATTTCGTTTATATTTATCCACAAACTCTTATTGCAATCCAATTTGTTACTTTTTTCTAATTACTTAACTCAATGATTTTTGTGCTGAAATTTGGAAAAAAGTCATTTTGTCTATTGTGTTAAGTTTGCTTCCGACCGGTTTTAAACACTGTCACTAATTAGATGAGAAGCTTAGACGAGTAATTTCTGAGATAATCAGTAAAATATGTACATGTATTCTTTTTTTTGAAACATTCTGTATTCTAATATGTTACTAAAGAACAACTGTTACTTCATCGTGGAGTGTATGTACTGTTTAAGTATCCTACGAAAATGTCGATAAAAATCATTTAATCGTCCCCTCAAAATTTTGTGTAAATTTTATAAAATAGCATACTCCTATACGTGTGGTTTATGAATCCACCCTGATTTTTTACCCAAGGCATCTATAAAAAAAAAAAGAAATTCTGGTAAGCGTCTTGATGTTTATGGGTTAATTGTCAAGATAATGCTGTCTGGTAGTTTCGAAAATCACTGATCTAATAAAATTACACAGACAAACAGACGGAAACCGGAAACCCGCATTTCTTTATTCTGCGACCCGTGAAAACACATTCGGCCTTGATTGTTGCCAGGTTAATAACGTCTGAAATTCCCGACGAATGAAGAAATTCCTAGTGGCAGCGTCACACCCTTAAACCAAAATATCAAACCCAAAAACCCGAAATCCGTTCTCCGTCTCGCCTCGTTAGCACCCGATAAATGATAAATTCCTCCAATTACCACAATTAAAACAAGCGCCAATTTTCTGCCAACAAACCCGCAATTACTAAACAATCGCATGCTTGATTTGTTCTCGTAAACAAGACCCGTCGATTGCTGTGCAAATACAGGGGGTCCGAAATAGCCCCACCGTGGCGTAACGTTAATCAAACACAGCAGCGGTCAACGGACTCAAATTTGAATACACATTATTGAATCGGCGATGATTTATAATTAAACGAATGTCGATACGTGGGTACCGGATTTGCTTTTTTCTTTAGCGAGTGATTCATGATTGTATAGTTGTAAAAGCGACTTTTGACATTTGCGGGCAAGTGGCATTGCACTTGAATGTCGAATGGCTAAACGATTTGTAAATATTTCGAGAATTGATTTATTATCAGCACTTTGCTTTGTTTATCAGAGAAATGTGC